GCGTACACTCAGAGTGATTCTGCCATTGATTACAAACCTGGATATCAGAATTTCACCTTAGGAAGTATGATCGGTCCTAGTCGAAGTATAAACATCGAAGGGAGTAAAAGTTTTGAATCTCCCATTCATATAATGTAAGGAGAGCTATTTTTATAAATTGATCATGCTTTAATGGGAAATTTACTGCCTTTGGAAAAGAGAAAACAGCAATTTCATCACCGTTCCATGCGCTCATAGTTCTACTTGAAACAATTTTACTCAGCCTTTTTCTGGCCATTTGTTCTTGTACAATATCGAATGTAACGAACTAGTTTACCAAGGTAAGCCACACTGATAAAATGTATCTACAAAATGAATGACAAAATTTCAAAGTCAGTTAAAGGTAATCCAGATGGGATGCGCCTACGCTTTCGACTCCATTCAGAATACTTCGTATGTGGTCTATAAGATGTCTCGCGCTGGCGAGACAATGCACAAGACCGTGCTTTTACCCTCCCGAACGAGTCTGGCATCAGTCAACGGAAACAGAGGGATGAGGGCTTGGCTGGCCTGGATGGGTTTCACGTCGGATCGGATTCCTAGACCATGCGATTGATAGTGCGCCACTTAGAACTGCACCATCTCGACCGGAGGGTGCACCGTGTGCTCTGCTCCTCGCTCTGTACTCAACTGAGTGCAGAAAGGAGCACAGAATACATGGTATAGCGTCTTTGATCACTTGGACAAGCAACGGAAATCCATTCTTCGTTCGCAGGCATAACTATCAACTTGGGATCCCCCTCTGCACTTGTATGTATCGGGGAATTCCAATCATCGTCCCTTCCAGAACATTTTGAATGACTGCATGCTTGTCTTGCCTGTGTAGAAGTCTAAGTACGTCAAGACGGGAGAGACCTAGAGAAGATGGGCGCCGAGACGAATGTTCTTTGTCCTCTTCGCTACTAACTCGCCATTTTTAAATGATGTATAATAATATATGGTCTAGTAATACCGATTATATATTACTATAGTAATTTGTACTTCATTCTGAAGGCTAGGAGGGTCGTCGTTTAATTCTTGCCCTGCAAGAGATTGAGCATTCATTGAAGATAACCTGTCCAAAACGGCAAGAGAACGTGCCAATAAAAAGTTCTTTTTGGAACCTGTTTGGCACAGAAATTTATCAAACACAGAATGATTGCGGTCATTTTGATTCTCCGTACCATGTCAAGAGGAAGGAAACGAGTAAAGCCAGGCCTACAAGAACACGGTCCTCTGGTCCATGGTGTAGATGTACTGCTTTCACTCTCTTCTTTCTGCATCTGTTGCTGATTGCACATTCTTCTACCCTATCATCAAAGCTAGCCCGTGACATCGTTCCTAGGCCTCAGTTCCTGTTCGGCTGTGTGTGTGGTCTTCTTGGTAGGCTTAAATCGGTCATGGAATCTGGATTTCTCTGCTGTTTTTGACAAAGATGTGAAGAAACTTTAGAATTGAGATCATTTTCGGTTAGGGTAGGATTGCAGCGGATGCGCTTTGGAGGGAATAGAATCTGTCCGAAAAGTTTTCGTTACCCCCTTCTTTGCTTGACTTTTTTCCCACGAGACCGCTCTTTATGATTGCCTTCAATCCCCAGGCCGCTACCTGGAAATTTCTGAGTGAACGCTGCGTTACGCTGACGTACTACAAAATACTAGAGCGTACGAGGAAAAAGAAATGAGAAGCAAGAATGTAGCAAAAAAAGGAAAACGGGTCCAATCGCTTTATGGAGAGGTTTACTGGGCGCTTAAAATTTCTTCACAAGGGAAGAGTAATTCCGACTAGAGAGAACGATAAAGGGTATTGGAAGCACAATCAGACGACGGAGTAAAATAAGGGCATTCCTAGAAAAAGAGGGTTACACTCGATCGAGCTGTATGAGGCAAAACCGATACTGTAGTTTACTACTGTGACGGTACAAAGCTGAACAAAATTTTAATGGGAAACATTATTTCTAGGTGTTATTTCCAGCTCTATGGCGGAGGTGATGTAGTGGCAAGTAGCGCACTCTTTCACACGCAAGGTCAGGGGTTCGAATCCCCGATGGACATCCGCCTAGGCCAACCAAGCCTTCCATTCCTCTGTGGTCGGATAATTGTAACTAGACTCGTCTGGGAGAATAAAAGCACTGACTTGTGCATGGGCTGACCACCGCAAATCATTGTATAGGCCACTTACGCGCTTATTAGGCCACTACGATTCTGAATGGAAGTCGAGTCGGGGTGCATCCCTCGGATGGGATTGATCAACGTCAAACACTTTATCCTTCATTTCCAGCTCTGGTAGTAACGTTAATTCTCTGCTACCCCTTTCCCCCCTATCACCAACATATTTCATTTCCGATCCAAAGCTGAAGGTCTCGATTCTCATGACATCACTGCCTAGAAATGATAATATTTGCCCTCAATTACTCCAGCTCTACTACTTTTACCTTGCCTTTTGGTCATTTTCAGTGGAGGGGTCTGATGAGGTATGTGAGGTATGTGCCCACCTTAACTCATAAGCGGAGGAAAGTCCGGTGGGTAAACCAAGGAAGAGAGAGGGCAGTAACCAGATTCGGAAAGTCTCATGCTCCCTCTATTCTCTAGACCTTCGGGGTTCACAATCTGTCTGATTGAGTGTCGAAACTACGGCTACCGCTATGGTCGGGCCGGTTCTCGTGATATGCTAAAAGAACCGACTTTATGATTCCGGATGACGGTCGACCTTACTGTTTTATGACCGAAATAGTATGCTTCACGGGATTTAAAAACTACACTATCAAAGATTATGAACTCACTATTTACTGGGGCGATGAATGCTTGCCGAGAGCGTGGCCAGCTGAGGGGCACATCCTCCGACCGATGGAGTAGATGTGGACAGTACCATATCAGTATCGTTCCAGTCATCGCCCGTATTCTGTTCCACCAGACCGTAGTAGCATAACTGAATCGTTCGTTTACTCGTTAGTAAGGTCAGTCACCTGATTTTCAAAGTTCTTCAGACTGATTCGCACCCCAAGCACCTTGGTTTCGACAAATAGGTGTAGGTGGAAGCGATAAGCGATTCATAGAGGGGCAAAGACCGCTCGTAGCGATAAGAAAATGCAAAGTAGGCATCGGTAATGTGGCGATAATCAGCTAATTCGACCCATACACAAACCTTGATCGAATTATCCTGATCACCTTCGGTGGTTGTGATGACTCGAATGTCGTATGCAGGACGCCAACTTGCACAATATACCTGAAAATACCTAGATGATTGGCTATTTCCCTAACGCCAGTGGGAAAAAGGGTCGAATCGCAGCAATGCTGGCGATAAGCGTGTTACCCATTCATAAAACCTGAACACCGGTCTGCGCGATAACTTTTTTCAGATTTTATAGTTTTTCGCTCAGTGGCTATGAACAATGCACTGAGCGGGAAACGAACACTGAACCAGGACATTTGGGAGGGCTAGCATAGGATTCAAGAACATCCCCAGACTTTCTTCAAAAAATAAGTGGTTTGATAGGTCGTCAGTAGGGCTAGACTATGAAAGATAAAAGGATGGGAAAATGAGAGCAGTTAAGGTGGATCCCAGAATGTGAGCTCTGTATTGCCTGGTTATAAAGTTTTCGAGGTCATACCACTGAATCTGTATGCTCGGATGTTCCTTTTTTCATAGGATCCTTCTCCAATTGAGAGGGTCCCAGAAAAGGAATGTTCTGACCTCGACCCGACCCAGTTCTCTTTGCTATGAGTTGGCGAATAACCTGCTACTCCACCCCGTATACACTACAACTAGCGCATATGTACATCCAAACCCAACAAAGTCTGGAGCAGAACTGAGAGAGCTGTAGCAAGCTCCATTAAGAGAGCCCTGGCCTGAAGAGTGACTAGCTTCAAAAATGTAAAAATGCATCTTCAAGGCCTAAATGCTCTTGAAGGCATTTTAGGGCGTGGAGTAATTCATAAACATTCACAAACGTAAACAGCCAGCACTGGTGATAGCAGCTATCCGTGCGTTATGCATTCCCGTTACTTTTCGATTCGAATACAACAAAAACATTCGTGACAGATCCCCGAGGAGCCCGTTCCTAACGGAAAAATTTCTTGACAGCAAGACTGCTACATTTCGCCCGGGAATGAATTCGCCGGAGTTTTTGTCGAAGTGGAGAAAAAAGGTCAAAAACATCTCCACCAACCTGATAGGAGACGTACAGATCGACAGTGGCCGGCGAGTCCATTTCCACAACGATCGTTATATTTCTGAAAAAAAACTATCTCAGTTAGGGTTTGGCTTTGTAAGGAGAACGCCCGAAGTAAAGATTACTCAAAAATACCTCCACTTATACAAACCCTCTTCATCCCTTGAACATCTATCCCCTTGAGAGATTTACATCTGACAGTGGAGGTATGACCACTGTACAGCAATTCGTCCGGCAATAATCAGCTCATCATTCAGGATAACTCTATTCGCCCCCCCCCCCTCTTCACAACTTCTGAAAAATCAAATAAGGCCTCCCTCACGGTTGGCTCTGTTCCGGTACCCTACTTCCCCATCACAACAGCTATCGTCCCTGAGTTACAATCACCACGACCTTCTTTATCTTTGGTAGAACTTCGCTGCACAATGACGGAAAATGGCCACTTCTGACCGTTTTTAGGGGTTGCAGGAAACGGATCATCTGTTGCTGTAGGCGAACGTGGGTGTGTAAGCTATCCATTTGATGATATGATAATAACGACGTCAACTTTCCATCGAGAGACAACATTCCGTCCAACCAATTCTCGTGTTCGGTTACACTTGTGAAGTGGATTGCAGAGCTTTTTGCCGGCCCGCTTAGACAGTTCACAGCCCTCCCCTATAAAAGACGTCGGCTACGGCGTAAACGACTCGTCTAAGTGGGACTCGTCCAGAGTGAGTAATCGCTTCTTCTTTTTGTCTTCGCCTTCGTCGATCCCGATACACGTCCGTTTGACATTCGCCTATAGAATCATCACTACCTCTTCGCTGCACAGATGTCCGACACGACAAAGTTGATCGAGACGGAATCGGTGAAAAGGTTTGCCTTTTTCGGCGTCACCATCTCAACCGTTGCCACTCTCACCGCTATCATTGCCGTTCCGATGCTTTGTTTGTACATGCAGCACATTCAATCCGGACTGCAGGACGAGCTCAACTTCTGCCGCTCACGAGGAGAAAGTGTGAAGGCAGAGTTCCACAAGGTCAGCTTTACACTTTCCTTTGCCATTCAATGTTCCTTATACCTTTCTCTGAGAAAGAACCTGTTTCAGCTTGCCTCAATACGTCAAGCAGTACAACTCACTCGCGGGAAGCGTGCAGCAGACTCTTGTTGTTCTTGCGGAACTGGAGCGCCGGGAGCACCCGGAGCTCCAGGCGAAGATGGTGCTCCAGGAAAGGACGGAGTACCAGGCAATCCTGGAGCCCCAGGCGAAGATGCACCGCCTGGAGACATTCACCCTAAACCAGAAGACTTCTGTTTCGATTGCGAACCGTCTCCGCCCGGGCCTCCTGGCCCACCAGGACTCAAAGGACCCGATGGCATGCCCGGAGCACCGGGTGAGCAAGGACCACCAGGAAGGCCCGGCTTGCGAGGAGCACCGGGACCACAAGGACCTCCAGGAAATCCCGGAAGCGATGGTCAACCAGGTTCACCTGGGCAACCCGGTCAAGTCCGAACAGTGCCATCTCCTCCTGGAGAGCCGGGACCACCTGGAGAACCAGGACTTCAAGGACCACCTGGACCGGATGGTCATCCTGGAAGTCCTGGACGGGCAGGAGCACCTGGACCACAAGGAGACAGCGGCCCCGATGGATTACCAGGGAAGAACGGAGAAGATGGAGCACCTGGAGAGCCTGGGAAAGATGGTACCCCTGGATCTTGCGATCATTGCCCAATCCCTCGAACAGCACCCGGTTATTGATTGCAAATTTTATGTGTAAAAAATTATTTATGCTACCTCCACGGTAGTGAGTATTGTACTGATTTGAGCTAATTCCATGTATTTTATGGAAGAATCTAGCTGTTTATCCGCGAAGTTTGATTGTATTTCTAAGAATTAGAAGTGCTTGTACCTTTTTACAGAATCATATTCGTATCCGCATCGTAGCTGATCAATATGCCTTTCAAGGGCTTCGATTTGTTCTGTATATTGGTCCCATTCGCGTTGTCTGCTTCTGAGTCTCGTTTTCATCTCGGACACCTTCTCTCCTATAGAATGACGAATGTGTTTTTTATGATAATTGACGATATTTGATGTTACTATTGTATAAATAATGTTTTCTAAACTATCAACCATTTCTATGAGAATCCATATGCTGGCGCTTTGCCAAGTAAATGTCGACCATAAGAAAGCAATTAATTTGTAAACAGTTAAAGGCTGATTGTGATGTAACAGAGGTTTGGCTGTCGTTTCTTCGAAGAAGGTATCGCCCATAGTAGGTTTGTCCCCACATTTCCGTGTGAAAAACAACAATTGAACTACCGTAATAGCTTAAGAATTTTGCCAGATTGCTCAGTGCGTCATCGTTCGAAAGAAATCCGACGGTAGAACATCCTTGATACGATTCGTAAGAAGTAGTCGATCCAACCACACTATGCCTTAAATAGCATCATCGTTTGGGAGAAAAAAAGGGAAGAGATATCGACTAGTTGTTCGGCTCCACCCACCTTCTAAACACATTCGGTAAAGATTCCGTGAGCGGTTGCGATGTCTTTGGAGGTCCAGCGGCTATCTGAAGACGGACTTTTTTGTTTGGTAACTATTTCCATGACGGAACGTTGCTGTGTAATGTACACAACCATTTGTCAAACAGAACTTCTTGTTCCGTCCACACAGATTACGGCCCCAGGGCTCCAGGACGGTACTGAGCTGAACGGTGTTCGCGTATAAAGGGGCACTCTTTCACAACCGCACGGCCCGGGCATCAATAACAAAATATCCACACTTGGTCCCCTGAGGTGCTGTATCAATGAAAGGGAAATCCATAGAAGGCCAGAATCGGTATGAGTAGCTACTTTTCAAAGACACACTTCAATAAAAATGATTTCTGGAAAATTTCCCCTGCCAAATCTGTGGAGTCCCCGTATACCATGGGTAGCGCTGTCAGTTCGGCAAATGACTTAGATAGGGGGTTATAATGGATTGTGTGGGCTGAATACCTGTAGCGTACGAGTTTCAACGGTGTTGTGAAGGGTGCACCATTCGACAGTAGAAGGCAGCTTTGGACATTTTTGCCTCAATGCTCTTTAGGCAATCGCGACAACTGAAATCTTGTCCAATACCTCTATAAGCCAACCCCGTCATAGTGATCTCGTACAGCCTCTATTTTTACTAGCTTTAGAAAGCCTTATTTTTTGCAAATTCGACGGATCTTCGCGCTTTCTTCGGTGCCAAGACAATCCGCTTTTCAACTTGAGATGGACACCTCAAAATTATCATGAGCTGTGCCTTCAACGTCTCTGAAACACCAGTTCGTTTTTTCTACGGGTCCTATGTTAGAATTCTGACGGATGATCAGCTTTTTGCTTCGAGGACAAATCTGACCATAAGAATTCCGAATATGAGGGCCTAACATAGCTCAAAGACTCGATCTTAATCAACTTAAAGTAATGGAAGAAATATCTCAGTACCAATCAAAGTACGCCCCACTGCCATCAACTCTAATATGCCTTTTCTCTGGTAACAAATCAATGCTACGTTCATTAAAATCATTCTTTGATTTGAAGAAATTCGAGTTTAATGATGAATGTCACGAAATTTTGCAAGAACTTCCCAGTAGCGCTTTAAACAAAATAAAAAGGTAAGGAATCAAGTTTTGGTGTCACGTTTTTAGCGGTCCCGAACTGCCGATTTGAGAAGCGCCCACGCATTCAATGCCCTTTCGACATTTTCTGGTAGGGTACGTATCTCGCCAATAAACTTGTGAAAGAAGCCGATGTACAAGCCAGGGCTTCTATCCCCCCAAATAAAACTGGTAGTGAATATTATTCCCTATTGGATGGAGGGCGGGTGGTTACAGATCCGGGATTCGATCTTTGGACCACACGTATGATAACAGCACCACTCATACTCACTCTCACTACAGTTCGGTACCACCCAGTGTCCTTAACACGAAACGGTACAAGTAATCGAAATCAATCCCCGAAATCGTTCCCCTTTTTAAACCGACAGAATCTTGGCGTTAGAGATGCGAAACTGCACATTATGGCCAATGATTAGGGCAGGGTATGCTCGAAAAATAGATCGGAACGGGCAAGATCGAGTGTCTCCTCGGGTGACAGGGTGGGCGTTAACTTCCAAACGCAACATCGAACGATGCTACCCGGTAGGACAACTAACTAGAACAGCAACTACAACTAAGTAGAACGTGCTCAGCGACGAGACAACCAGCAAAGAATTAAAGCCACTGTGAGCGTGTAAGACCCATTTTCATTAGTTGTATGGGTTTTTTNTTTTTTCACTGTTCTCCTCCCACTCGATAATTTTTCTATGAACATACGTATCTGCACCTGCAAGTCCAATGAGCGGGATACCCTGAGAATACTGCACATGTATTTTACAGTACAAATAATACAGTAAGCAAATTCTCTCTGTCAAATCATTAGATGATTCCCCTTTCAGGCCCGTGAAATAGCGCTCGAACAGTTGCTGCAAAAAACAATCGAATCTACTGACTTGCCCAGCCACTCCATCCAAAACTTCAATCTGTTTCCGTAAGGAATTCATGTCGTCTTCTACAGTGAAACGTTGATTCTCCACAGATACCTTTTCTCGTTCCAAACTTCGGATCTGAATTTAGTTCAGTCGTCATTTTCATAAAAAAGAGCTGACCAACAGGAAACAAGAAATGAACCTTTTCCGTTTCTTGCACCGTGTCGATAGGCATCTCCTGGTATTGAACTTCCTGAATCAAAACTCCACGGCCATCTACACGTACAGACTGGCGTTCAATTACTGCCGATACATTCTATAATGAGGTTCATCTTACAATATACTATGAGAAATAATAAATTTTTGAGTCGTAACAAAATTCTGATGCTTGGTTGTCGTTTAAAAAAAACACCACCATCCTCTCGCCCATGCTACCACAACGATTTCTTCTGCTAAGCACCTGCACAGTTGGTCATGTGTCAGTTCTGTTTCGCGACTTTAAGCCGTTTCTGCTGAAAAGGAGTCCAAAAACTAGGAATCGTTCAGCCCTTAGAATGCTGACTTATGAACGAAACGTCTGGCCTAAGGGGGACTCAATGAGTGCCTATCCTTTCCGGATCTTTATTCACTACATTATCGAAGTCGCACGAGTGCCGGGCGCATCCTAACAACGGGATTGTTTTAAGCCAAAGAATTTACACTTTCTTCTTCATAAATGTAGTCACGACTTTCGACTTTTATAAACTTTCATCGAAGAATGTTACACTTGTGGAAGGGGTGAGTTTGAAAGAGACGCCACTTTTGAAAAGAACTCAGCGGTGTTCTTTAATATTTCACCACTCTTCAAGCACAATGCCTATGACTTCTTCTTATAAAAGTCAAATACGATGCTATGAGGGGAATAGACTTTTAATTACAGCCGTGAAGTAGCAGGCGCGATTCCTTGTGATTAATCATTGTGACACTTTCAATGAGATTCTAAGAAATGATCGAATGCTTGCGCAGCTTAATGGATCGCCTTGAAACTTGACAAGAATTGGGGACCGTGTAGGGTTTGGAGTATTATGTTATAAGCAAGCAACTAAAATTTCATTTGTTCTGTATTTATTGACCTATATTCGTGTTTATACATTTTTACGGGATGGAGCTGGTGTAGTGGCAAGTGACGAACTATCACTCATGCTTCGGGAAGACAGTCCTGGATCACTGTCTGTCCAGATCAACTTAGCCTTCCATCCTTACGTACCCGGTTAATTATGCTAGACTCGACCGGGAGGATGAAGCACTAACTTATGAATCGGCTGATCACCTCTTGGCATTGTATAGAACACATACGCATTCAAACGCCGATTCTGAATGGAAGTTGGATGCGGGGTGCATCCAAAAACGGGTGAGATTAACGTGTTACTCTTATTTACATTTGCACATTAGTTTGTTTATTTTAATCGGAAATTTCGGAGCGTTCTTAGGGGGACCTCACGGAAAAAATTCGAACACCTCATTTTCAAGACATGTTTACTCGTTCCTTGTACATATTCCAGGTCTTTCGCGCTCTACCAATCCGCCACCACTAAGCCGATGAGTCGGTCGTGCTGCTAGTTGCTATCGTGATCAGCAGCTGCTTTTCTACAGTAACACATTGTTTTAGATAAGACCCGTAAAAAGCGTGGGAGTTGATTGCAACGAAAAGCCTTCAGTTGCATAACTGCCGACTCAGCCCATGCCCATTCACGTGTAGTAGGTGGAATTCGATCGGGAAGATAGCGTGATTTCAAGCAAACGCCACGAAATTCGACCACCGTCAGCAGTTTGGGCAATAAACTTAGATGGACCCGCCTTTGTCCACATTTCAACAGAATTGGCGAGGATGAAGTGCGGAAATTGTTGAAAGGATCATCTAATACTGAAGCAACATCGGAATAGTAATAGTAATCTTACTTGTATGATTATTTCGTTGGTTCCTTTTGCTAAAGACGTCGTCACAACACGTTTTACTTCAGCCCTGTCTGAGTAAACGATGACGTTTTTCGTCGGCAAATCGGCGGCTTCGAAACGAAATGACGTTTGCGGGGTCGGTTCATGCCAAGACTCGACCATCACCTGCAAATCACTGGCATTAGATATATACTCGCTTTAGAGACCCGATCCAAAGTATGGCGATGGGAAACTGAGCTACGAAGTGGAGCGCGTGCCATCGACGAGCAAATCGAGGAATAGGCCAACTAATTAGGCTTGCTACTAACTCTGGAAGACAAACTATAAATGGCAATTTGGATTGAGCCATTAATTCAAAGAAAGTAGTGAAAAGACGATAAATTATGTAAGCAGAGGATTCCGAAAGCTAACAGAGGATAATCCCGAGTATAGACGTCAAGGATGAAAGAGATTGAAGACCAAAAGATACGCGTATGGTTACCACTCGTTGGTAAACTCGTCGCAATAAATCCCTTCAGATCCTCGTACCAACAGAGTAATTTAGGCTTTTGAAACTTCTCCCAAACGCACACCTTTCCACATCCCTGCGCTGTGTATGCTAAAACTGGTAGGGATGAAAGAGTGCTGGAACCCTGACTCGGGCAGATCTTCGTGAATCACTTCGAGCGCATACTGAGGTGATGATGTCACAGAGCTCAAGCCACACATGACATTGGATGAAAAAATAATGATGTAGCTCTTAGACCTTGGGACTCAGAAGGACACAAGAAAGCAGAGGAGAATAAACAGATGAGGAATTAGGAGGTAGGAAGTAGGAAGTAGGACAGGAATGCATCACAAACCTTTTTGCTGTAAAGGTGGTTTTCAAAAATACTGTGCAGCTGCTTGCCAAGCGTGTGTACTGAGGAACACAACTAAATGAGGAGTTTCTTGAAAATAAAAAAGGTAGGGATTCTGCCTCTTCTGCCTCTGGTAGGGAAAGCTCCTCTTCTGCCGATGAAGGGTTGTCGACTGCAGATATTTACGCAACAGTGTGTATAGAAGGGGAGCGATGGCAAATTGAGGCCACTAACGTCATCTACTGCTGATTGAGTCTGTTCCAGCTGCTTTTTGAATGGTCTAATCTGATGAAATTCCAACGACAGTGAACGGCGGTTTATGAACAGAAAGACAAATTTTGCTTGGAATCTAAGTCTCAAGTTTTTCCTTGAACACGTAGTACTAAGCGCTGATAAGCTATGGAATATAAGCCATTAGGAAGGCGAGGGCAAGCGAAGTCTCGGCAGTGCAAGGTATGGGAGCGCGGTGCCCTGATAGCAAAAGTACGTGTTCGAGTCCCGGCCGAGGCCGAAGTTTTGTCCATAACTCTCCGAACTTGTGAGACTGAGGTTCTTACTTCCTTCAAAGAGTATAAGGGGAACGATGAACAATATCAAGCTACGAAATGTAGTCACTAACCAGTTGTCTCTTCAAAGCTCAGATGGAAGCCCGATTGCACGATACTGCAACGAAGCACGGCAACGTCAGCTACTTTCACTTTTTTAGAGGAAAAAGTAAATGAGCAAAGACACTAAGCGAAAAAGCTCTTAATCTGAGTTCCTTTTGATTTACNGCTACGAAATGTAGTCACTAACCAGTTGTCTCTTCAAAGCTCAGATGGAAGCCGGATTGCACGATACTGCAACGAAGCACGGCAACATCTCGTCAGCTACTTTCACTTTTTTAGAGGAAAAAGTAAATGAGCAAAGACACTAAGCGAAAAAGCTCTTAATCTGAGTTCCTTTTGATTTACTTATATGAGAATAGGGGTCAAAACCGTCAAACCTTTCTGCAAATGGTATTTTTAACAAGTGACTAACTATATGACAAATTTCGAAAAAAAGAACTACAACAAGTTTGTTTCGTTAACACAGGCTTTCTCGCTGTGCGCAAGCAAAAGCAATTCAAAAAGAGGACCCTTAAAAAACATCGTGGTGCAGACGTCGCTAGTTTTTCAGAGTAATTTCACTTTTATAAAAAAGACATTCTGCAAACGAACAGCCAGATGAATCAAAAAGCGCTTCCTATGAAAGATTCAAATTTGTACTGCATACCTCTACCAGTCTTTTCAGAATCTTCTAAATAAACAAATTCTAGTCTTACTCCTGATGGCCAGAATTGAGATCGTAATGAGACATAAGATAGTTTTTGTTTTGGAACGATCTGTGGGTAGATAATTTTTGCGAAACTTATCTATTCAACTATGGGACCCTGCTATTTTGAGCTACTAAAAATTATTCAGGGTTTTTCGTTATTCACGAGAAAAAAAAGACCCAAAAAGTTTGATTAGAGGGGAATTTGATGGAAAGTGAAACGAATTGAAATGTAAAGAGGTTGTTCGCATTTGATCAAAACAGAGCAGATATCACACTGTCAACTATGAAGCTGTGTAAATAGCGGCGGAAGGGTCCCCCTGAGGTGGTGATAAATAGAAGGGGGCTCATTTCGTCGACACGGAGCCATCGGCTGCAATCACTTCGGCCGGTGTTGACCGCCCGGATGCTACTGCTACCAACCATGTGAGTCAAGGAATTTTTTTGTCACTCGTCAGAAAACGGCACAAAGATCGTTTTGTCAGTGGGAAAAACAAACAAACAGTAAAAGACTGTGGTTGCTTGTTTTGATTGTTTCTGCCTCCTTTTACTGGTGTTTTGTGAAGGAAGAAGGCAAGACTCGTTCATGTAGTGGTGAGAAGACTTCAGGGCACTATTGCCAGGTTTCGAGTTCAGTTTCAGCCAAGACTAGAGTTTCCTTCTCGAGCTCACATCAATCGTCAGCATTTCTTCAATAAAAGCATTCCCTACACCATGAATGAGATTTAGGTACCACAAAAGCATCCCCACGTGATTCAGAAGAATTCAAATTCCTACCACTGAAAGAGAGGGTTTCTTGAACTGATTCAGGTAAGACATGGGACTGGACTTAAAATGTAATTTGTCAAAAGTGAAAAAGCTGAAAACACGCAAAAAAAGGTCTGCACTTGTAACCCTTGATGTGAGAGGATGCACAGACCACCGAGAGGGCAATGCCAATAGAGCCTATGCTGGGAAGCGGTGGAACAAATACAATGGACGCTGGACCACTTATTTTAAAACACAGATCATTTGTGGGCGGGGCACAACATGGAGGGCGTTTCGCAACATGACTTACCCAGAACTCGATAAAACAGATGAATCGCCTTGAAAGTCTGCCTTACACCCTCATGAGGTCCATTGTACGACATCCCCTTCAGTAAGGTAAGTGGACCTGTTGAATGGGAACAAGAACCGAAAAGGAGCACCCACTGAGACAATATATAAGAGGTATCCTCGGTTACAAACAAGTATTATAATGTTTACAGTGGATATTGAGAACGATGCAAAGCCAACAGATTCTCTTCCTACCACGTGTATGAGCCAGTTTTCTCTGCAGTAAAGATTAAAAAGACCCTTCCAACTTCAATGGCAATGGAGCAATGCGAAACCGTCTCAACTTTACCATCTGAAGCATCCAAGTGTAGCAAAACTTTTCAAGTTCTTGGTTACTGTGAACAAGCGGTGAGCCATGAAGCACCCAACTTCAAGTGGGAGCTATTCAAATAACTTTCTGTAGCAGTTTTGCATACTCTGATGGTCATCTGAATCACCAAACTGTTGAGGTAATTGAAGTGCAACTTTTAAGAAATGAAAACCTCGTGTGGGACTTCTTTTCCGTGTTATAAAGGCAGGATCTCGATCCCCACAAAGGAATTCGTTACCTGTAGAATATCTGATTTTGTTCACATAATTCTACTGTTCCGGCACTAACCAAGGAGGGGTAGTCTACTTACCGTGGGACTTTGAATGGGGACCCAGATAAATCGATAGAGTTCTGAATGCTATTTACGAAAATGGAAATTAAAACTGCTAAATGGTTTTTCTTAAAAAGTTATGGGGGTTGGAAATTTGTTTGACAGTAGTATTACTTGGATATGCGAACTCGT